AGTACCTGAGGCCGTCAAACTTTGTCTTCTTGTGGTGCATCTACCTCCCCTGCTTGATGTTAGCTCTTTTGAAGCATGGGACATGACTTAATTCATCTTTACATTTCTAGTACTTATCTCAGTCCCAAGCACATGATAGATTTATTCATTTACTGTTCAGCAAATATTCTTTGAGCACCTGCTGTGCGCTGGTGGAGGAGTGATGAAAAAGACAGACAAAATCCCTTCCATGATAGTGTGTGTCTGTGTGTGTGTGTTTGTGTATGCATATATGCACACATAGCAAATACTATCTAGTAAGTAAGTGCTATAGAGAATGAGAAGAGAGAGAAGGGTGAGTGTGCTATTTTAGATAAGTTGATCAAGGAAGGCCTTTCTGAGGAGGTGACGTTTGAGTAGACACGCGAATGAAGTGAGGAAGAGAGCCAGGTGAGTAGCTGGGGAAAGGCTTTCTAGGCAGAAGGCACAGCAGGAGCAAAGACGTTGGTGTGTTCAAAGAATGGCAAGAAGGCTAGTGTGATTGAATGGAGTGCAGTTAGAGAAAGGATGCATAGGAAGAAAATAGGTCTGGGAGGTAGCCAGGGATCAGATCATAAAGGGTCTTGATGCTTAATAAATTGTATTTAGTAGATTTGAATGAATGAGTTTTTTCTACCGTCTTGGAACTCTGCTTGCCTCATTCTCCTTGAACTGGATGGTACCTACCACATCTCATTGACCCTAGGCAGTGTTGGAATTCTTCCCTTGGGATTGTTTGGTGAGGAACTGGGGATTTGAAATTGGTAGGGTGACATTGCTTCCACCCAGTTAGTGCTATCAGGCAAGTGCCTGTTCCCCAAACCTCTCTAAGACATGGCCAGCATATCTAAGTATACAGTCTGAATGTGAGCTCAGACATATACCCACATCCATCTAGCCCTGCAAGGGCCTGTACCCACTGGGAATGTAGAGAATAGCTGTTCTTTATTCTTAACTGTTCAGCCACATATGTGGGCTGGGAATTGCTGAGCATATCTGCCTGAAATACATCAGGTCATTGTGTGGATTGTTATAGGTACAGCTAAGGTTGACTGCCTGGGACAAAGGGTTGTTATCAGTATGTGTGAGGCACACAGGAAAAATACTTGACTCTGCCTGTTGTGGAACGAAGGGTCTGGGCAGGTATTGCTGAGGCAAATATAGGAAAAAAACCTAATAGCCTTCAAGTTATCTCTGAAGAGATTAAAGAACAGCATTTCTGTTCTTTATTTTTTATTTTTTAATTAATTAATTTTTTTTTTTTTTTAGCTGAGCCATCCTGCCATCTGTTGGCAGCTCACTGGCAGCTTAGCTTGGGCCAGGAATTGAACTGGCGACCCTGTTGCTCAGAGCTCACCCTCTTGAGCGAGCTCTTAACCACCTGAGCCACTTGACCAGCCCTAGCATTTCTGTTCTTTAATGTTGCTAATTGATTGATATTATTTTGTTTACTAAAAAAAATTAAAAAGCAGTGGAACTTTTAAAACTGATTATCATGAAATCCTGTGGGTTGTTCTTTCAAAATTATTTTCATATTTGCCCCTTGCTTTTTATTTTGTTGCCATCCTCTTAAAGTCTTCATGATCTCAACATCTGTGTTCCGACAGCATACTCTCAAGCGTCTCTGTTCCCATTTTAGTTCAGCTATCAGCAGCACGTCAAAAATCCTGTTTTTATTATACCATTCACCTCCTTAAGAGCCTACAGGGGCTCTGTGTTGTCTGCTGCATCAGATCTTAACATTCACCTTGCTTTTACCCTCTGTCATCTTAACGCAAATTAGCCGTATTTTCTACTTCTCTTCACCCTTTGCTGTGGGTAGGCTATCTTTCTTAATATCCCTCAACACTGGTTTTTGCTGCAAGGTTCTGCTCATTCTGCTCCTCCTTTATTATCTTTCCCTCCCGCACTAGCTATCCAAATTATACAAATTCTTTGAGTTGCACTTAAGTCCCGCTGCTTGTAACTAAGCCTTCATTTGCCTTTGACCGAGGAAGTCAGAAGGGGCATGAGCTTCAGGATTAGTAGATCTGTGAGTCCCTGTCCCTCTATGTACTGTTAACGTTGGGCAGGCTGTTTCCCTTTTCTGTCTGTTACCCAATCTGTGAAATGAGGAGTATTGTTAACATAGGATATTTGAAAGTGCTTAGTGTAGTGTTTGGCACACAGTAGACATTCAGTAAGTGGTGATATTATTGGTTGAGTCCCCTGCCCCACTGTAGTTTAGTAGTTAGGTGAGCAGGCTCAGGAGTCAGACTGCCTGGGTTTGAATCCTAGATCTGTTTCTAACTAGCTGTGTAACAGATTGCTTTACTGCCCTATTAATTTTCTCATCTATAAAATGGAGTTAATAATAATATCCACTTCATAGGGTTGTGAGGATTAAATGAGGTAATTTATGTAACATGCCAAAATAGTGCCATAAGGTTTAGGAAATGTTAGCTATCATTTTGATTCTTTTTTTTTTGAATTTTCAAGCAATTTCCTTTCACAGTTTAGTATTTACTTATATTCTGTATTCTTTAATTAATTAATGTATGCTTTTTGACTTTGTCATTG